GGATCGATGTTGAACACTCCATCACCAAACTTCCTCCGTCAGCTTCGCCTCATTAATGATTCTGTTATTTCTGAGACCAGATAGTTCATCTTCTGCTGGTGAATTCTTGCAGCAGATTTTTCTTATTTTTTTAAGGCTGGAGGGAAAGAAAATAAACACGGGGTCCAGTTCAGCAGCACTACATAAACAGGAAAGAGCTTTTTCCTAGAAACTGTTAGCACATGGCTGTGAGATATAATTGCATGCAGCAACATTAGATGTCCCCTAATTGGAGCTCAGCAGCTCTGGTTCAGGTGGCATCACTAATGATTGTGCTCATTATTGGCTGTAATTAAAGAAAACTATACTTGAAGTTTCATCAACCTAAACTGTCCGTCCTGGTGTGACGTGAAAGTTTAGCTGTTAAATGAATCCGTGAGTCAAAGCGTTTGAATATTTCTGCTGACTTTGATTTATTAACATTTCCAGCAGCCGGCAGAGGAACTTGTTGAAACATCAGCAGTTAAAATCATTTGCTGCTGCAGTCGCTGTTTGTCATATCACTGACTATTATTAAACATGAGTCACTGAGTCTCCGTCGGTGAGTTTCGACTCATGACCCTCGTTCCTCTTTGTTGGTGCTGTTTCATTGTGTTTGCTAAATGTTCTCATGACTTTCCAGACCTGACTCTTCTGTTCTTGCAGTTTAGACTCACGTGATTTTACAGCTGCGTCACGTTGCTTTTAAAGCTCACATTAAAATGCTGACAATGCTGGGAAACTGTATGACTGTATGATGATTTATCTGATTTCAAGTTTTGTTCTTTAGGTGAACTGCTTTGTCAACTTCATGCGGACAGTCTAAAGGAGGGAATAATATACTAAAACCAATTCAGTGTCTTCTTAGGACCTTTTTTAGCTTCTTTTCCACCTGAGATGGCAGCTTTGTGTCCACACAGAAGAATCAGCAGCTTCAACATTCTGTCATTCACGTTTAAAGCCTCCAGTGTCCAAAGCAGAGTCATTGTAGCTACCGTGAGGCTGTTTTCCACTGCAGGAACTTCAGGCAGACCAAAGTGGTGGCACCATAGTTGACCCTTTCGTCCTTTCTGTTCCCTTTGCAATGTAGGAACCAACAGCTTCAACCACTAAATTAACTCTGACTGCAGCGAAACAGTGACGAAAAGTTGCTAGATGACGCTCCAGTTCTATGAGCATCTAAGAAGAGGCCAGAAAAATGGTGCTGGAGCTCAACTAATGAGTCCTGCACAGCATCTCTTCATGGTACCCACCCTGGAATAGGCGCTTTTATTCACCCCTGAAAACAGAGAAGAAAAAACAGATTCCACAGGGGCGGTTCTTGTGGTTGAAACATCCTAAAGTGGTGCAAAAGTTCCTGCATGTAAAACAGCCTAAAGACAAATACCGCGACAGTTAAAAAGAGCTGAAACATCTTCCATAAAAGTGCTGCCATCCTGCACTTCACAGTAGTGACTCAGGTGTTTAGACTTGGTATCGAGGTCCTGCCTCCAGCCAGACTTTTGATATTGAGCTAAAAGCACAACTAATGTAGGATAAATGTACAGTGAGTTTGCACATTTGTTTACGACAGTCAAGATGGCGGCTGCAGAGCTACATGAAGTTCAAGAGGTGTGTGCAGACTTTAGGGCCGCGCAGGAGGCAAGACCTCAATACCGAGTAAAACAAGTATCAGTTTACTCTGTTTTGTGCAACTCTTTCTTCCCAAAGTCTCTGCAACGGAGGTGCGTAATTAGAAAGACCAACAGAGACGCTTTAAAGAGCCCATATTCTGCTCTTTGTTTTCTTTCCTTTCCTTCAGTCTGTTGTGTAGCTGCTTTCTTGTGCATGTAAAAGGTCTACAAGCTTACAAAGCCTCAATCCTCACCAAAGGGAGTTGAATGCTCTGCACTTATTTAGCGCTTTTCTACCTTAGTGATACGCAAAGCGCTTTACAATGTTTTCTCATTCACACACACATTCATACACGATGGCGACAGAGCTGCCATGCAAGGCGCCTGCCATTGGGAGCAACTTCGTGTTCAGTGTCTTGCTCAAGGACACGTCGACTGCAGAGGGGCGGGGGATCAAACCACCAACCTTGCGATTAGAGGACAACCGCTCTACCACCTGAGCCACAGCAGCCCAGAGAGTTCTCTCTCATAGAAAACTCTGCTCCATACCTGCCTGAATCGCCTTGTTTGAAGTCAAGGTTGTTCTTCTGTTACTTATCTACATCACCACGCAACATCTTTGCATAACAGTAAACAGCATTTTCATGTCTATTTACACGAAAACAATAAGGCTAAATGAAATGACCAAACACAAAGCTTCTCGAATGAACAGAAAAGCAAATCTATAACTTGCTTTCACAGACTGATCGGTTTGTTAGTTTGCAGCTAACCATTATTTTCCACCATCAGGTCATCCCCCCATTGTTTTCTCATTTAATTGCTTATGAGAAAGGTTGCAAAAATGGCATTTACAAATTTCTTCCTGACAAACAGCCTAAAAGCTAAAGATTTTTTAATTAACTACCTCACATGACACAGAAAAGCAGCAAATGCTCACATCTGAGAAGCTGGAACTGGAAAAATATTTACTATTTTTGCCAGAAGAATGAAAAATAATTAATCATTTATCCAAAGAGTTGACAAAATAGTTCATAATTAATATCTGGTGGTATCATGATTGTTGACTTGGGTCTGTAATTTAAATTCTTAAACAAAATGCATTTATGTTTGTTTGAATTGCAACCCTATATTATATATTATTCAGTACAAACTGACTTTAAAAAATATCATTTGTGGCAGTGTGATACCAGGAAGTTCATCTGCAGCTATTACAGGTAGATTATATAAAGTGAATGGACACAGTGTTTATGAAAGGATAGATCGTGTTTGTGTGCTTTAATGTTTTGCATTGCAAGTCATAGTCAGGTCTTATTGCATTTCCCTGCTTTTGAAATAACAATCTTCTTGCAGCAGTTTCATCAAAAAAGCGTTCCTATAAGTTGTCGAGTGAGCAGCTAAAAACTACCAACATGCTGATAAATAATATGTTCAACAGGCAGAAAGAGCCCATATTCAATCTCTAAATAGCTCATGAGTTTTCTAAAAAGAGAGCGATGTGGTTTGACACTGAGGGATTCTGGACGGTCTCTTGATTTATGGGACGAGGCAGCCACTAGCTGTTCAGTCGTCGGAATTACAAGGCAGCAAAATACCATCAACCTCTATTGGTGGTGGTTTTATTTATTTTCATCTTTAAGAATTTTAGCTTGAGGATTAAAAAGCTATCTGCAAATTAGAGAAATGTATAAATTAGATGAAAATACTGTATCTCAGGGAAGGTACCCCAAACAAAAATGGATTCCAACAAGTTCCAGCCATGCATTTATTAGTATTTATTAAATAAAATAAGTTACAACATATAATTTCATCCCTTTGAACATCCACTGTCAGAATTGTATTGTAGTTCACTATTAAAACCTAAATAATTATGGCTAAAGAGTTTGACATTGATGCACTTAGGACAGAAATCTTTGGTGTCTTCCACTAACAGAGATGGGAGGCTGTGTGATCAGTGTGTGTTGTGTACACAGTAAAAAAATCAGTCAAAAACTGATATATTTTGCTAACATCTGCCTGAAATGTAATGAAGGAAACACAGAATTTACCAAAAAGACTGTTTTGTTTCAACGTGAAGACAGATTTCTACAAAGTAATGTTAATTAATTAAAAATATAAAATGTAAAATAAGTGACTGCATAAGTTTTCACCCCCTTTAAAGCGACTCAGTTAATTAAACACAGGTACAGCCAGTGGGTGGGAGAAGTCACAAAACATAAAATCCTGGAGGGCAACCCTGATACAGTCTGCAAGAGAAGTGCAACTTGGGAGAAGATTAGTTGTCCAGCAAGACAATGAGCCAAAACATGCAGCCAAAGCTACACAGAAATGGCTTAAAGACAACGAGGTGAATGTTGTGGAGGCCAAATCAGATCCGAGACCCCGATCTAACTGAGAATTTGTGGCTGGGCTTTAAAAGAGCTGTTGACTCATGATCCCTGTGGAACCCGACAGAGCTTTAGCAATTTTGCAAAGAAGAATGGAGTAAAACTGTCATCTCCAGATGTTCAGACTGATTGAGACCTATTTACACAGGCTCAATTCTGTAACTGCAGCCAAAGGTGGAACTACTAAATACTGATTTGAAGGGGGTGAAGACTTTTGTAATGCCTTTTTTATTTGTCATATTTTTAATTAAATCATCATACATCATACATCTGACGTCACACTTGAAATGTACTTTGTGAAAAATCTGCTTTTACTTTGACATGAAAGAGTCTCTTTTTTTTTTGTAAATTCTTGCCAACAAAAGCAAACTTAAGCAAAATTATACTACATAGACCACCCACACGACAATAAAATACAGTACATAACAGTCCAGTATAAAAGTAAATGGATCTGAACCATTAAATAACGTGACCTCTACTTTGAATGTAAATATGAAGCAGGCATTTTTTGTGTCCCTTTAAAAAATAAGCTTGCAGCAGGATACACAAGTTTTAAAAAGATGAGGTAGCTTCTTCAGTCTGGTCACTAAAAGTCAACACTAAGATGAGAAGTAAGAAAATGTAACAGAATACATGATTTTTTTTCACGGTTGAATAAATGTTGTAATTTGTGCACACAAGCTAAAAAAAATTGTTGCTTCGTACTAATATAATACCGCTAAGAATGAAAAAAGAGATGACACATATTTATATTCATATATTTCAAAAATATCTGTGTCATTATGAGATCGCGTCCCTCAGATTTACGAACTATTACACAATATAATTTATGCTCACTGCATGGCTTTTTAAGCTTATTAAGTTATTTGCTGATTCGCGACAAAAACTACAAAGTTAGCAGAAAGAAAGTCGGACTTCCTACTTCCGCTGACGAGAGAAAAAAAAACAGGAAGTGACGTCCCTCATTGGCAGCTTGAAATTCACGTGACGGCGCGTCCCGGCCGTCAGCTGATAAAAGTCTCCTGTTGATCGGCGAGCAGCACAAACAGCTCAGTCATTGTCGAGTCTCTGAATCTGTCCGGCTGCCACAATGAGGAGCGGATTCCTGTGTGTGTTGGCGGCGATATTTCTGACCACCGACGGTCTGGTCCGGTAAGATAATGGGGAAAAAAAACGGTTGAATTGAAGTATTTATTCTGTTAGCGCGGCTAAAGTGACCGCTAGCTACAATAGCAACTGGCAACTTACACAACTCTGTTAGCAAACACTCAACGGTCACCGTTAGCCACCGTTAGCTCCAACAGTTAGCTTGTAACGTCTTCACCCAACACGTGATGTCTTTGTCAGTCTGAGCTGGTCTTGTGACTTTTGGCTAAACCTGTTAGCCCTGCTGTGCTATCACCTCTGTTGGTAGACAGTAAGGGGCGTTTCCGGAGAAAATACAGGTGGAATCAATAACAGTGACTCAGCGGGTCATGGCGGGTTGTACTGTGGAACAACACGTACAAATGTTATCATACCTGCGTTGGCATGTCAAAATGTCTGCTCTGGGGAAGGCCTGGGAGATAAGACAAACTTTACCTGTTACAGCAGTAAGATACAGTTCAGACATGAAAGAAGCAGGATAAGAATGACAAAAGCACAATTAGATTAAAGATATGATTAAGACTATGTGCAGAAATGACAACTGTAGGACATGCATAGTGTGTGGAATTGTATGTTTAAACTGAACAGTCGTGCTGCATTTTTGTTATTGCCTTTAAAATGCTTATGAGAGAACAGAGCATGATGTTCCTGCACCTGAAGACCTGTGAGAGAACAGTTACATGTTGTTGTTGTTGAGTTGTATGGAGACCAACAGTGTTGCATGATGTTTTTGCACCTGAAGAGCTACAGGAAGAAAAGCAGTGTTGTTTGAATTTTGTTACACTTTAATGCTGCAAAGACAAAAATGTTAGATGATGAACTGTAAGGGGGGAAAAATGGTGTTAAGACATGTGGTTGATCATGGAACGGGTGGTTTATTTCACACCTGAATGTTATTTCAGGCTGAGAGACACTGCTGATGACTTGTACTGAGTTTTACTGCAGCTAAGTTTGTGATATCGTTGTTCTCAATCACGTGTTTTTCTATTTTTGTTGCCAGAAAACTGAACAAGTATGAAATGAATTCTTAATCCAAGCCCTGCTGTCTGTTTGGTTGCATTGAATTAGGCCTGTGGGGTCATGGCATAAGCTGACATTATACTAGTAATTAGTTCTAAAATGTATAATGCAATATGAAGTACAGGACATTTCACCAGATGACTTGAATAGCACCACTTGGAACCTTCCTCAAATGATGTAATGCTGGTAAAGGTATCCAGAACTGGTTTGGATGGTGTCCAGATTAGACACCATGGTGCTGAATTAAATGGTCAAACAATTTGCTTGTGTTACGTTGTGTTATGGCACCACTTGTAAGCGTCTGTTTTTGGTCAGTATCATCACATATTAAGTGGGTCATGTTCAGGATTGCTGCGTTATGTGTGTTGTGCATATTTTGCAACACTGTGCAATAAAGAGCAGATAGGGAAGTGAAAAGTTGGTCAGATCTTATCTGTAAGGCTCACAGCTTTATTGGTATTTACAAATGAAGTCATTCAGCCGGAAAATCAGGCTGGAATTCATGCTATTCGTATTGTATCTAATAAAATCCGTGGTGTGGCATGAACCTCAGGCTTGAGGTCACAGTTCAGTCCATTTTTGGAACAGAAGAGAGAACAAAAGAAATGCTTAAAATAACACTTATTTTACATGTTTTAGTTTTTTTTCTTAGATTTTTTTGCTTGTAGCAGCCTTCTTCTTTCAGTCAAATGTTTGTCCTCCGTTCACACTTTCAAGAAAATGTTTTCAGTGCCTTTTGGTTTGTCTTAGGGGTCTTAATATTTTAGTTTTTTATTCTGGAAGGACTTACAAGTTGGTGCCTTATTTATCTGTTTCTTTTAAAACTTCATTTGTATTCATTTTGCAAGTTTGATCATATTTTTGTTGTTGGCTATCTTATATCCTGTACAGCACTTTGATCAACTCGGTTTAAAAAAAAAAAAAAGAAGTGCTATATTAAAAAAATAAAAAAACCTGTAGCCCTGCAACAGTTTAATGATTAATTGACAGTCCTTATAAATAAATGAATGAACAAATGAATGAATGAGTCAAAATCTTCTGATTCCTGATTCGTTGCACCTCCTATAAAGATAAACTTATTGTCTTTTGGCTGTGGACAAAACAAGACGTCCTCTTGGGCTTTGGGAAACACTAATGGACATTTGTCACCATTTTGACTTTTAACGGCCAAACAGTTGATGCAACAACACAATGAATTCATGCTACACTATTATTTGACTTGCATAGTAAATATGAATCAGATGTAGGCAGGTGTTCAGGCTACAGGTAAACAGGACTGACTGATTTTTTTGTTTGTTTCCCTTCAGAATTCCCTTAAAGAAATTCCGTTCTATCAGACGTGAGCTGACCGACTCGGGAAAGACGGCCGAGGAGCTTCTGGCCAGCACACACTCCCTTAAGTACAACTTTGGCTTCCCCTCCAGCAACACTCCCACTCCAGAAACCCTGAAGAACTACCTTGACGTAAGCATCCCTCTCAAACCACTGACCTGGGAAACCTTAAGGCTTCACTTTCCCTAATGTACCGTGCAGAAGCTAACAGCCCAGCCGGGGGGAGAACCACAACAAAGGTCCTGTTGTGTTGTGGCTGCCTCGACCTTTTTCTGTAAAAGCTGCATAGAAAATTAGGCTAGAGTCTGTCAAGACCAGCAAATCCCCTGCAAACATGGAGTAGGTTCTCAGAGAGGCTGATTCAAAGTGTGAGAAAGACAGAGGAGGAACCTTTAGCGTCTGACTCACTGAGCTGTAAGCCTCTTGATCCCCATCAGCTGACAGTTTGTTTGTTCAGTTCCAGTTTGACTGAACATATTGAGTAATCAGCTTTTTTCTTAAATGATCACATCAGTCACGGTGTAGAGACCGAGAAGAGAAGCATAAACACATCTGATAAGATTCTTTCTAGCTATGGTTTTCTCCAGTAGGTTTGGTGTTTTACCTGAGCAAATATTGAACACTTTATCAACTGAAGGCTTTCTTATGTTATCGTATATCTCAACCAATGAGCAACAAGAGATTGCAATACAAAAATGCCACAGATATGTTTAAGGTTTGGCACTTTTACACTGTTAAATGTCTCATTTCTACATATACTGGTCTGAGTTTTAAAAACAAAAACTGCTTTAAGGAATCCTCCTCATATTTCCGACACTCTTGAATTTCCACCTCAAAAGTTCACACAGGTTGAACTCGGGACTACATGAAGTCACCTACATCCTAACGTCAGCTGTCGTGGGTTTAAAAATAATCTCTGCTGATGCTCCTACAATCACATGTTTCTCCAGTGATGTGGCCTTGGAAGGTAGTTGTGCTTTATACCCACTTTACAAGTTGTCTGTCATGTGTTCTGAGTGCAGTTTGCTGGAACAAGAATAGCTGAATAGTAGAAAGAAACCCGTCTATAAAACGGTACATCCTCCAAGCAAAAGCTGAACTTTTGAACCTCACTGAAGGAGGATTTATGGGAAGACTGCTGGATTAGTTTAAGCCTGGTGTACCTGACAATAACACTTATTTGATTTAAATGCAAATCCGGATTTGAAACAATGCAATTAGCAAATAACAATGGCTGCAATTCAAGATGTATATGGTGTGGCTGTTAAATAGTTTTGTTTAAGTTCAGCAGATTTGAAACATATAGGTTTATGCTCGTCCATTGATCAGTGTGTACTGTGGGATTCAGGTTGAACTGACAGGAGCCCAGTCCTGTTATTTAGCAGACACACCTCGTTTATTGTAGCACGATGGGACGTCTGACCCAGTTTAAAGTGTCCTTGTGTGGCAGTCACAAGATTGTTGATATGGCTTGTCATAATCACATGTTTGAAATCTATTGCGCAGTGGACATTGAACTGAAGCTTGACTATAAAAATGATGTCACGTCACAAATGCAATGTCTGTCCGTTGATTATTTCCCAAATTGTTCAGCCCTATTTAAGTGTAACAAGCTAAACTGGTAAATGTTCAGGGTTAGAGATTCTTCATGTTTTATATTATTGTTTAACCAAAGAGTTGCATCAAATCCCACAAAGACACATTATTCACATTACTGACTGTATGAGTGTCGGCATGAGTACAGTCCTCCAGTGACATCAAGCTGTTCACATTATTTTGGTTTTGTCCGTGCAGGGTTTGACATTTCTTTCTCAAGTGGATTTTTGTGCATGTCAGTCAGATATTAGAAAATGTACGATTCCAACACTTCAGGTGTCACAAATTTAATTAAATTCTTGTTGGAGTGTCTGATAACAGCCTTGAATTCAGTTTAATTAAAAAGGCCTTTAGAAAGTGTTGAGGCTTGGCTTTTGAAAACCTCTCTAACCTTGTTTTTTGTCAGTGCACAAGTCAAAGAGATGTCATTTACCTTAATATGTGACAGAAATATCAACACTCTGTAGCTAAAACCAGCAAATGTTTCACATATCTGCTTTAAAAATAACTGAAGTTGTGAATTAATTCTTCCTAAATGGAAGACTGATCAGCCATTCTTGAAGCTTTACAAAGACCGAATCGTTTTTAAGCAGTTAATCCATTGATCTGTTCATTTAATTATTCATATCAGTTGGAAATGTGATATAATACCAGCTTCATTTGCTCCCAACTTTGGACGGTTTGGTGGAGAAACAGGCGTTAAATTAAATCCTACATCTTCAGTTGAACTTTTGAATCTGCAGAACCACGAATGTCAGACATCTGGATAAAGAAGTAAGAATAAGCAGAAGAGAAAGTCAATCACAGAGTGAATCGGAGACACTTGACTTCTACTTATTGCTCAGAAGGAGGAAGTACAAAGATTCCTCAGTGACTCGACAGAAACTTCAACATTATTTAGCAACAAAGCGTCTGACCAGAGCTGCTTTCAATCACATGAAACTGCAGTTTGCTTCACCTCCTGAATCTGTGGACTAACAGTTTCCTCCTTGTGGTTACTGTTGAACTGAAGCAGCTCATTTCCTGACACGACTCAGTGTAACTATTTGACCCACGTCCTGTAAAACACTTGTTGACGCCGACAGCTGACAGGCCTCATCAGCTGTGAGAACAGGACCGACTGTTTCACTTTAACTACCTTTTGGTACAATGAAACCTTGTTGTTGAATCATTAGATCTGCTCTGTTTCTCTTGAGATTATCCTAATCTGCCTTCCTGAGCTGCAGAATTATGTGCTCTCTCAGCTGAATTTAGCTGTCTTTTTTTTCTTTAAACCAGGCCCAGTATTATGGTGAGATCAGCTTAGGGACCCCTCCTCAGCCCTTCACCGTGGTGTTCGACACCGGCTCCTCCAACCTGTGGGTTCCCTCGGTCCACTGCTCCATCCTGGACATCGCCTGCTGTGAGTCTGTCGGAGCTGAAACATCGTGTCTGCTGTGTTTTTAGAGGATCTGACTAATCCTTGTGTTTTGTTTTTCTGTCCACAGTGCTACACCACAAATATAACTCTGGCAAATCCAGCACATACGTGAAGAACGGCACCGCCTTCGCCATTCAGTATGGCAGCGGCAGTTTGTCAGGATACCTCAGCCAGGACACGTGCACCGTAAGACTGTCGGCTCTGTCACAGTAAAGCTTCGGGGGCTTCTGCTCCACCATCTCTGATTTGTGTAAAACTTTTTCATCATAAACCAAGAATGTTTAAAATGGTGAAGATTTATTATATCCAATACTTCCTGAAATCAACAAACCTTCAGCAGGTTTTTTCACACGTTGAAATTTGAGGCTCAGGAACTATTAAAGATAAAAGCCTGAAATTGTCTTTGTAATTTCTCATTATGAGATTGATCTACTTGAGTAACATTGCAGATTCTGAATCAAATGGTGTCTGATTATGGGTGAGCTGGTATATTTTTAAAATAACAAGAAGTTCCATCTTTGAGCTCACAATAAAAAAAAAAGAAAAGGTCGTAGTGATATTTTCTGAACTATTTGTGTCACAATAATCCAAAACAAAGCACACTGAATACTTTTTAATGTGAAATACTTGGTCACAAAAAGCTTTCGTAACTAATCGAGCAGATGCGACAAATTGTACCACAAAACAAACATGTTGGTCGATGGACTCGTCCAAGTAGAGCAGAGTTCTGGACTTTCAAATTGGTTCTCCGAATACAACTTCATATTTATTTTTTGATGCGGGTGTATTTTTTTAATTTTTGGATCCCCTTTTGCAGGCTTGAGAAACAGAGTGAACTGGAACATTGATACTTGCTAAATTTGCATTTATTATTAAATGGTTGAAGGTAAATGTTCTATAAATATACATGTGCTCATATTTTAGTTTCTGCACAAAGTCCAACTTGTTGCTTTGGTCTTGGAAGCCAATTTTATTCTCAATGGACAACAAAACAAGAGAATCAATTTTGATCCATTTGACAGTTCAGCACTTGTCCATGATCACAGATTCTGAATCAATGATGCGATGAGAAAAAACAGTGAAAAAATCAGGCTTCTGTCTTTAATAATTGCTGAAATATTACAATCCAAACACAGTCTCAAATTTTATGTGTAAAAAATATGTGGAAATTGTTAATTTACCTTTTTTAGTTGATTTTTCATGGGGTCAATAGGCAATAATAATAAAAAAAATAATAAAATACAGTGCCTTGGAAAGTATTTGATATATTTGAGCTAAATTTCACAAATGTTTTTATAAATATTCGCATTTTATTGTGTCAAAATATCAGGCAAATTTGAGATGGTGAAGCGGAAACTGTTCTAAAAATCTGAAATATAAAGACCCAGCAGTCACATAAAACTTGTATTATTATTTACATTTATTTTATTTGTACCGCCTCCTTCCAGATCGCAGGCTTGTCGGTGGAGAAACAGCTGTTCGGGGAGGCCATCAAGCAGCCCGGCGTGGCCTTCATCGCCGCCAAGTTCGATGGGATCCTCGGCATGGCCTACCCACGCATCTCCGTGGACGGCGTGGTTCCAGTGTTTGACAACATCATGAACCAGAAGAAGGTGGAGAAGAACGTGTTCTCCTTCTACCTGAACAGGTGAGAGATAAACTCTACAGGAACACACCAGAATCTCGGGAAGCCATTTTTAGTTTTAGTCAGACTTGAAAAGAAATGCTTAAAGTGATGCGTTGTTTGTTTGACTTCTTGTTTCCCTGAATATCAACTTTGTGTGAAGTGAGCATGACTCATGGAGACACAATGGAGAAATAATAAATGATCCTTTTAAGGTGTGACTGATATCTTCCTGTTTTGTTTGCTCTGTACTTCCCCTGCCAACAGAGATTCCAAGTTACTTTTAGCATTTCAGTGTTTCTTTTCTGTTTGGAGAGATTTTAGCATCCAGGTCGTACCAGCCAGTCTCATTCTTACTTAACTTTTAGTGTTTTCAGATGAAAAAAAAAAAACAGATCATAAACAATTATTCGTCACCATACTTTGCTGTAGATGAAGTCACCACTGGCAGCAGCAGCTTTCTACGGTCTGAATTAAACTTATGGTGCTGCTAACAGCCTGTTCAGCTCTGTTCTTGTGAACAGGAGCACTGATAACACAGCAGTAGATAACAGGTGGTGCAGGTGGAACATTCTCAGACGTTATTGAGTGAACAGACGATAACCTCTGTTGCAGGCTCCTACTCAGTAAACATGTCCACAATGTGTTTTAAGAGACTTTAGACAGAAAGTGGGGCCTTAAATTCAACTCTGTATTGAACTACAGAAGTGGTTATGTTGATCTATATATGGTGGTAAAAAGGTTTAAAAAAATCAACTTATTTTGGTAAATGCTTTTTACGATAAGTTTAGTTTGTTTAAGAAACTGGCTCTGCGATGGTGTTTTGATGAAACAGACTGTTAAAATGTTCACTTCTTTGATGGACACAAACAAACTCTGATGTTTTAAAGTTTGTGTTTGGTCTCTGCAGGAACCCCGACACTGAGCCCGGCGGCGAGCTGCTGCTCGGAGGAACCGACCCCAAGTATTACAGCGGCGACTTCCACTACGTCAACATCAGCCGCCAGGCCTACTGGCAGATCCACATGGACGGGTGAGCGCTCGACTATTACACTCCAGCACAGAGGTTGTTCAGAATGACTGTCTTTGAAAAGATCACAGTCGAAGGGAGGTGATTCATGCCAACTCAGCGAACAGAAGCAGGAACATGGAAACAGGACAGCCAAGGCTAGACGGAGAGAGACTCAGAAATGTCTAGTGCAGTATGACACAGTTATGCCAGAAGTCTTTTTCTTTTTTACCACAGGTGTTACCATACTGGAGAGAACTCTGTGTATCCACATGCTACAGATATTTTACCACGTACATTTTTAATTTGTTGCTATAGTTGTCATCACTGTTTTGTGTAAACGCGGCCTGCAGTTCAGCAGAAAACTCTCTAAATATTTGTCACATGACTGTTGGTCACAGCTGAGTCAGTCTTAGCTTCACAGTTTTGCAGAGCAGTGCAGAATTTTTAGTTTTTTCCAGAATCTGGTTTGTGCAAATGGCGTAATTTTGCTCATTTTAATTTCATTTTTTAAGATGAGTTTGCCTTTCAAACCCACGAGCAGGTTTTGGGTTTGTTAAAGCTGCTTAAGGGGAAAAAAGTACATTAATAGGTTAGTTTCCAAACTTTTTTCAACACAGGACACATTAATGATGTGATTGTACTTTAAATACTGACATATTTGCACAGATGAAGCAGAACAGATGAAGCATGGCAGGATTTTGGATATATTAGACAGTAAGTGACCAGTCAGGCTGCTGGTGATGGACTCCAGTCAGCAGTGGTGGGTTTAAACACGACCACAGGGTGTCTGATCTCCAGCAGCTCCAACTAATAACCTCCAACGCTCTGCTGAGTTCCTTCAGCCGTGTTGTGACATGTTGTCTGACCAGCGTACGTGTGTGTTTGTGTGGCAGGATGGCGATCGGCAGCCAGCTGAGTCTGTGCAAAGGCGGCTGCGAGGCCATCGTGGACACCGGGACGTCTCTGATCACTGGCCCCTCAGCCGAGGTCAAGGCCCTGCAGAAGGCCATCGGAGCTTTCCCTCTGATCCAGGGAGAGGTGAGATACTCGTACTTCTGAAGAATAACCCTCCATGAATTCATCATGTTACCTTCACACAGTGCAACTAAAGTAATGCATCATTTCACCAGTGACAGCTTATTGATATACAAATCATGTGATACAGTTTGGCTGCTAAATGTTGGTTTTTAATTTCCCTTTAGCAGAACAAAGTCCATGAATTTATTTCCATCATGTGGTCATTTATTTTCTTGTTCCAGCAGTGCAAA